GCTGCAATTCCGCCACAGTTTACCTCTAAATGAGCCACATACAGTTCCAGTTTACACTACTGTGGCTGCAACTAATTTTCCTAAATAATTTTGTGAAAAAAAAAAAAGCTTGACATCCTCAAATGTCTAGTTTTTGTCTGACCAACAGTTCAAAAATATATACAGTATATGTATATATATGATACGAAACAATAAAGCAGCAAACCTTACAGTGGCCCTGAGACGCCAACACAAACTAAAGAAATTAAGAAAACATGCAAATAAACAAAACTCAAGTGAATTAAAAAACATCTCTACCAATGTAAAAACACAGACCACGTGTCACGTGAGATCTCATAGTATTAAAATGTGACAATATTTCTCACTGAGATGTCTTGTACATAGCAGAACCAGGACATTATGACTGAGTGTGACCATATGTTCACATTAGACAAGTAAAAACAACTCCTTGCTGTGTTTTAACACACAGGGCTGCGTTGTTCAATGGGTGAGGAGTTGCAGTTGTTGTAGGCGTGATACGGCCATGTTGTGATGAGTCGACATAAGTGGCTTCATTCATGTTTCCAGCCCGCGGGTTTCCTTTGTGTTTTGGTTAGTAATGCTGCCAACATAGCCTACTCTACCTTAGCACCAATTCTACCACCAGTGTCTCAACATTGATAGATTTAATAAAAAAAAAAAAAAAAACTGTTTAACATCCAGTACTAATGAAAATGCATGGCGTGTCATTAGGGTGCGTCAATTGTGGCCCAAATTTGACAGTGAATAGCAATGAATGCTCATTCTAACAAGGTAAACAAGAGTCTTCTTCTGGTGGGCGCCCATGTCCTGATCAAAAACCCGTACATGATTGTTCAACATAGCGCCTTTGCCAGATGATGTCACCATCGGTGCAGTGCACACAACATCAGTTAGAAGCTCATGTATAGTTCATGCAGAGTTATAAGGTCTGAAGAGACTCATGTGAAATCATACAGGAGAGAAGCCAGTCAGTTGAGTTGGTGGCAAAACCTTTTACAGTGCTTGCATATTGTTCTGTCTTTTACTGCATATGGTAACTCATACTTAGAAAATAGAACTGAAGTGACATTCATTACAAGATGATTAGTTAAAACATTTCAAAATGCACCTCGTTTTGCATTTTGTGACTTTCAGTCAAATAAAAGACTATTTTTCCAGTCATACATTTTGTCATTGACTTCTTAAAAACAGTGTTAAAATATCTTCTCGTCTTGTGAACCCCATATTGTGTATTGTCTCTGTGCTGTTCTCTACGAACAGTAGCTGACCCGGAGGATAAGTCTGACACCTTCTCTCCTAAGACTGTAATTGCAGCTTCTGTGTCTCTTAGCGATGACATCATTAACGTGAGCCACATTCTACATACAGCTTATCTGTATTTAGACAGGATGATCGCTTCTCCTCGATTTAAGTTGTTTTGAAGGCACCTTCGTTTTACGTCATTCCATGGCCAGCAGTAAAGCGTCAAAGTCCATTGGTTGTCTGTGGTCTGTGGGAGACGTTATCTGTCTGTCGAGTCAAACAAGGTCTTTTGACAAAGTGCAGAACAATGACTGTATCATGTGTTGATGTACTGAAGTAACTTCACAAGGGTTGAAGGTCAAGATCTCAGTTATAAAAGTTTGTTTATTTTTAAGCCAAAAATCGGGGTCACGGAGACAGGGTTGTAGAAGCTCCTGCTCATCACGATATTCACGTGGGTCTTCAGCAGTGAATACAGTGGCAGTTATGGCTAGAGCAGAGGCAGAAGTGGCTAAAGCAGAAATAGCGTTTGCAAGGAAGGAAAGCGAGATAAAGGTACAGCAAGCACACCTCCAAGCATTACTGGAGACTCTACAGCTAGAGAAAAGAGCCGCAGCTATAGAAGCAAAGGCAGAAGCCCTAGAATCCGCCGCCGAGCTTGAGAGCAAAGGTTGTGCAAGTTTAGCAGAACTGCCTATGGAAGATACGGCGGAACGCACACAAGTGTATCTAAGAGACCAAACTGACAATCCTGTTGATTCCCAAATGCCAGTACTGTATGGGCCGTACAAGGATAGAGAAGACGCAAGTGTTAAGAGTGTCCTGCAAAGACAGAAAACAGAATCGTATGTACAACCGGGAGAGCAGAGCGACTTCAGGTTCATAACGCCGAAGTTACAGTCGGCCAATCTGCAGAGCGAGCCACGCCCCACTGTTCCCCAGTACGTAAATGTACCATACACCCACCCAACTAAAGACACACATTCCCCCCAAGCTGGGCCTCATCAAAATGAGTTGAAGGGAAATAACCAAATATCAGACGTGGTCAAGCTCATGGCGAGACGGGAAGTGGTGTCTACGGGTCTTATGCAGTTTGATGATTGTCCAGAGAC